GTAATACTTACGCACACAAAAAATTACGAAACAGTAAGATGAGTAAGTAAACATGTAAGACATTAGCACAATAGATGCCAGTTGAAAGTGCCTAATCATAGGATTCCTGACTCAGTCCTTAGAGTTGTGTTCTTTAGGCTGCAATCTCCTGTTACAACTACTTGATAAGAGGTTCTTGTGAAATGGGAGCACACTATAGACATAAACATGCCCTCAAATTTAATGTTAATCAAATAAAATATAGTTTTGATATTGTGCTTTGAATACCTGCTGTTTTAGCTAAATATATTTTTGCTTGTGCAGCCCTGAAAAAAAAGAAACTAAAGGTAATTGACAATGTGGACTGATGGGTCAGAAATAATTCTTAAGATCTGTTTATCTCCCCCCACCCCCCCCACCCCCGCCACCAGGCTGTAGATACTGGCTTCTACTCTCATAACACTGGTGTTGGCTTCTTTCATTTCAGACTCAGCGCTCTGAGCTGTTCTGTTGGCTGGCTTTGTGTGCTAGTGTGGTCCGGAAGTTCCCCATGCCGTGATGGGCCTCCCTGCAATTTCTCTTGCAGATAACTGACATCCATTGTTTAAATAGATTCCTTCAATTCTGAGGATGGTTCCGTTTTAAAACTCCCACTGCAGATGCAAAAACACTGAAAACAACTTTGTGGTGTCATTATTAGTATGAAATTTAATGAAGTATGAAAGAGGGGTGTGGAGTTGGGGAGGGTGGATGGGAAACTATGATAACAGAACAGAAAACTAACATGCTAAAAGCTGACAAGTGTCAAGCTCACTGGCTGAAAAGTTTCCTAGAGAGCTGATGCCATACTATGAGACTCTGGTCCTGGAGGCCTTTTCCAGCCTGACCTAGTCTTCACTGCAGCCTTTTGTCACGGGGCTGGGGTGGAGGAGTCATTCCTTCATCAGTGCTATAAACAAATGATGATAGAACAGAGCATCCTTACTCACTGAGTACATGTCCCTTCTGTACTTGTCTAAGCAGGGTGGTAGTGTCTCTATGAGAATTATGTGGGTAATGCTATCACTTCCATACTTTTCCCTTTAAATAATATTAACCAGGGGCGCCTGGGTGGCTCAGTCGGTTGAGCGTCCGACTTCAGCTCAGGTCACGATCTCGCGGCCCGTGAGTTCGAGCCCCGCGTCGGGCTCTGGGCTGATGGCTCAGAGCCTGGAGCCTGCTTCCGATTCTGTGTTTCCCTCTCTCTCTGCCCCTCCTCCGTTCATGCTCTGTCTCTCTCTGTCTCAAAAATAAATAAACATTTAAAAAAATAATAATAATATTAACCAGATATATCTTCACATAAAGATAGTTACAAAGAACCTTGAGATCAAAAGGAGATGACCACTGCCATCGTTAATTCACCTTTCAAAATTTCAAGAGTTTTTATCCTTCAGAAACTATTGTTTTAAAAAAAAAAACCTTTGGAATTGTAACAGTTATTGTTGTCATTACATGTCAAGCACATGTAAGTGTTTTTAAATAGCAGAAATATAGGGGTGCCTGGGTGGCGCAGTCGGTTAAGCGTCCGACTTCAGCCAGGTCACGATCTCGCGGTCCGTGAGTTCGAGCCCCGCGTCAGGCTCTGGGCTGATGGCTCGGAGCCTGGAGCCTGTTTCCGATTCTGTGTCTCCCTCTCTCTCTGCCCCTCCCCTGTTCATGCTCTGTCTCTCTCTGTCCCAAAAATAAATAAAAAAACATTGAAAAAAAGTTTTTAAAAAAAAAAATAAATAGCAGAAATATGTAGTAACTGTAGAGTGAAAATTATGGCTAAAAGTGCTGTCCCTAGTCCAAAATTAAATCTTGATGATGACAGAAACTACAACCGTGAAGATAATATGTCCAGTGGAATTCTGAAGTAATTAATACACTCTGTATCTTCTTTCAAGCTTAACTCAATAACGATTTACCTTCTAGGGAGACAATAACCAACTAGTGATACTATATAAACATCATCACTTCTACCAGGCATGCATATACGATGTTTGAGTAAAAGCACTGACCAATGCCAACTGTAGAAAACACTCCAAATTTAAGAATTAATAACTTTTGATTTGGTTTTAGGAAGGGAAATGTGGGAGCTACTATGTGCTGAATATTTTGTGTCTTCCCGAAATTTAGATAATGAAATGGAACCCCAAAGGTTGCTGTATTGGGACGTGGAGACTTTGGGAAATGATTAGATCATGAGGGCAGAGCCCTCATGAATGGGATTAGTATCTTTATAAAAGCACCCTCAAGAAAGCTCCCTGGCCTCTTCCACCAAGTGAGAATTAGAGCAGGCTCTCACCAGATATTGAATCTGCTGGTGCCATGATCTTGGACTTTCCAGCCTCAGAACTGTGAGATAAATGTTTGTTGATTATAGGCCACTCAGTTTACAGTATTTTTGTTATAGCAGTCCTAATGGACTGAGACAGGAGCTAATTACTGAATGCCTACTAGAATATAGGAGCCATACAAACTGATTCAGTTCAAGTCTCAAAATGTCCCTTTGATAACGAATAGCTTACCTATTTTATAAATGAGAAAATTATTGTTCAGAAAAGTTTAGTAACTCATTCATGGTCAAGTGGTGGGCAGAGCCAACCAGTCTGTCCAAAGTTTCAGCCCTTTCTGCCACATGACACTGCATTTTATAGGACAAAGGCTTTCAAAACCTTTTTTGTCTCACCTTCGGAAGGCTCCCTTATAGAAATAGATTTCCCAACTTAGATTATATTTATTAAAATAAGAAAATGTCAGGGGCGCCTGAGGGGCTCAGTTGGTTGGGCATCCAACTTTGGCTCAGGTCATGATCTCATGGGTCGTGAGTTCAAGCCCCGCATCGGGCTCCATGCTGATAGGCCGGAGCCTAGAGCCTGCTTTGGATTTTGTGTCTCCCTCTCTCTGCCCCTCCCTGGTTTGTGCTCTGTCTCTGTCTCTCAAAAATAAATAAATGTAAAAAAAAAATAAAATAAGAAAACGTCAGGGTGCCTGGGTGGGTCAGTCAGTTAATCATCTAACTCTTGATCTCGGCTTGGGTCATGATCTCATGGTTTGTGAGATCAAGCCCCAAGTGGGGCTCTGCTCTGATAGCATGGAGCCTACTGGGATTCTCTCCTTCCTTCTTTCTCTGCCCCTCCCCCATTCACACTCTGTTTCTCAAAATAAAAAAAAATTTAAAAATAATAATAATAAAATTAAAAAATTTGATATATCTTTAATTTTTGTCAGATAACAAAGTCCCTAAATATTGCTAAAATTGCAACCTAAAAGGAATCATTAGTATAACTTTGTCACCAATTTTTCAAATAAATGTCAGTTCTGAGTAATATGGTCACATGAGGGTCATTCATACCTTCAGAATCACTCTGAGTTGTTTACTACCTATTATATACTTTTGCTGGGCAATTACCTGAATTTATTATTTTTTTTATCTTTACCAAAATCATCTTTGAACTTGTAACTACAGTAGACCTTGGAGGTTATCTGAACAAAATGACTAAACTCATAAAAACAAATATATTTAATTGCACCCATATATATACACAAATGAATAATAAGATTAAGATGGGCAAAATGCAAACACTGTACATTTGAAGAGACTTCAAACTCATGTATATTAAACTTTCTGAACAACTGAAGTTAACTGATTTGGATCCTAAAAAGAAATCCTGCCATAGGGAAAAATGTAAAAATGTGAAGAGCTGTGACTTCTCCACTCTTCACTTGGCACAACCCCATGTCAGTGGAACCTAGAGCTAATTTGGATGATGAAAAATACCATAGTAGCTATTATACTCTTTATCTTCTGAAATTCCTTTAAACATGTCCGCTACCCATCAACCATCTGGATGTATTGGGTTGGGAACTATTTGCCCATGATATACCCCTTCTTAATCCAATGTTTGAAAAAGATTGACTTTAAAAAGTAAAGTTAAAAATTTTTAACTTTTTCTTAATGGTGCCTAAGTTGCTGAGGTTTGTCTATCCTCTGTTAAGTTCCAAAAGATATCCAGTAAATCATGTTAGTTCATATTCCTAAGCATTTAAGAACATGTAGACTAAAATTTGTTCCAAATTTATAAAAATAAAACCCACACACTGTGGCAATGTTAATGATCTGTAACAGACCTTTCTTAAGAAGTTCAAAGCCAAACACTGTATCAGGTAAGTTCTATCTCAATTTTAGTTGTTTTTTTTTTTTTAATTTTTTAATGTTTATTTATTTTTGAGAGAGAGAGACAGTGTGAGCTAAGGAGGGGCAGAGAGAGAGGGAGACACAGTATCCGAAGCAGTCTCCAGGCTCTGATATGTCAGCACAGAGCCTGGGCGGGGCTTGAACTCACGAGCCATGAGATCATGGCCTGAGCGGAAGCTGGGACACTTAACCGACTGAGCCACCTAGGCACCCCAATTTTAGTTTTGACCATTATCACCAAAACTATTTCCAACACATGTAAACTGGAAGTGCTAAATACCTAAAACTAACTGAATTTCATTTTTTAAAAATAGAGATTTTCTGGAAAAATAAACAGTTTATAAACTATGCTGAAGCTTTTGTGCCTTGAATGTGATACCTTTGGAAATGTAAAACTGTTCATTCCTGAAGGGGGAACACTTTCCCTTACTGCTGCCTCTTGAAGATTCTATATTCTACTTCAAAAGAAATGCCAACATGACCCAAAGCCCTTGACATATCAGTGAAGCAAAAGAGTGCTATCCCAGCGAGGACCTGTGTTTTTAATTCTATAATGTTTTTCCTAGCGTTGCTGCTAGCATACATCTCCAACAACGGAGTGTTAGAGTCCGATATGTTCTTCTTGGTGAAGAACTGTTTTGACTATCATCAAGCACCTGAAAACTGAATGTTTCCAGCCTTTGACACTGCCCTATACCTTACATGGTGTTTACAGGTGAAATAGGAACCATGTTGTTGGCACTCTGTGAGCTTAATGATTCCTAAGAACTCACATGAACTGAGCAAATGAGAGAGAAGCATGGCACTATTGATTATACTGATTACCTGTTTTGTGATTCCTCTTGCTACTTCCCAGACTTGCCAGACCCCTGACGACTTCGTGGCTGCCACTTCTCCAGGGCATGTCATAATTGGAGGTTTATTTGCCATTCATGAAAAAATGCTGTCCTCAGAAGACTATCCCAGACGACCAGAAATCCAGAAGTGTGTTGGGTGAGTAAAGCCTCAGAGAACACATTTAAATTTCAAGATTACACTATGAGATTAGGGCATGTAAACATTTACTTGTATTAACATTTAAATTATTTTAATAAAATTTACACTAATATATTTTTAAGTTACATATAATCATGCGATCCTTCCTTAAAAGAGAAATATATCAGCACTATATGTATAGTCGACCTCCAAGTGCAGAGGCAATGAATGCTTTCCATTAATATATCTATTTGGATTTTGCCTTAAAAAAATCCCTGAAGGCACTTGAGAAAACCATCTGGAGACACTGTAGCCTGTCCACTGCAAGCATACAGAGCACATTTATATTTATATTATTATAAATAATGTTTATAAACATAAACATTATAAATATATGTATGTTTATTATATATTAAAATTATATTATATTAGTATTATATTATATGATTATATAATATTAATATTATAGTGTAATATAATTATATATTAACATTATATTATATAATTATATTATAATATAAAATATATTAAAATTAATATATATTAATTTACATTACATTATTTCTATTATGTATTACTTATGTTTATATCATCTACAATACGCATTTTGTTTTAAACATAGATCTATTATTTATTTAGTTCTTTGTTTAAAATAAGCGACATTTAAAATCTCTCTACACCAGCATTTTTGTCAGTGCTGCATTCATTTCATTCTTGAAATAATCTAATTCTCTTATGATAAATTAGGATCCTACTTCAACTTAGTGTTCCTTCTTCTTTGATGAACACTTTCGGCTGAAAGCTTGGCTATAAAAAAGACATGTGTCACAGTGTACTAGGGAAAAGTAAAGCTGGGCAGAGGATGTTACAAATGGATTTTCTTTAAGGACAGCAGGATATTTGAATTCTAACTTCAGTCTGGGGACAAACTCATTTTGTAGACTTGGGCAAATCACTTAAATTCTTTGAGTCACAGTTTCCAATTTTCTCTTTTGTAAAATAAGTTCCTGGATAACTTCTAGGGACATGGGCAGCATCAGCTTCTGTTGCTATGGCAATCTGATCCACATGCTTTTTTCCAACTCTGAAATCTTACTTCTATCTTGATGTTCTTGTATGTAAATTTAACCTCCTTTCCCACTCCCCCCCTCCTTTTTTCTTTCTTTATCAGAACATATTTACCAAGTGCTCTAAGAATGCTGTCAGATAAAATGTGGTCCCACATCACACTAAGATTCCTTCCTGGCATTCTCCCTAGAAGTTGGGCACTTTGAGCTACTGTTTTCTTAAATGTTGATTATCAGGAATACCAGTGAACACCTCAAAATAATTAATGAAGATTCTCAGAGCACTAAATCGGTACTCAAAAAATGACTGAAGACCTGCAATTATAGGCTAACAATTAAGGATAAAAAATACTAAAAAATCATTGATCTAGTAAGAAAATATATTCTGAAAAAAAAATTACTGAATCGAATATCTTTTCACCTTATTGACAATCCCTGAAAGAAACAGTATTCATTTAGCATCAAACAGCTCTATACATATATATTTTTTAAAATATTTATTTATTTATTTATTTTGAGGCGGGGAGGAGGGTTGTGGGGAGCAGAGAGAGAGGGAGACAGAGAATCCCAAGCAGGCTCCACACTGTCAGAGCAGAGACTGACAAGGGCTCGATCTCATGAATTGTGAGATCATGACCAGAGTTGAAATCAGTAGTTAGATGTTTAACCAACTGAGCCACCTAGGTGCCCCAAACAGCTATATATTAAGTGCCTACATTAATGAGGCCCTATTCTAGGTGTTGGGATACTGAAGTGAATACACCAAAGAAGTTTAGACTTTCATGGAGCTACCATGTGTGGACCCTCCAATCTTATACATATTGTCATACAATTCATTATTTTACCTTTTCTCTCTTTTTTGCTTCTTTTTTCAAATTAAAAACTTAATGCTGATTTGCCACACTTTGCTTTTAGATAGTCTACAATGACAAATAGTATCATTCAAATACTTTATCGTAACTCAGTGAATTAAAATAAAAGTTAAAAATATCAAAACCCTGAACAATAATATTGTCCTCTATGAATGGATAAAGAAGACATGGTATATAAGCATGTATATATACATATATGTGGAATATTTTTCATCTATAAAAAAGGAATAAAATCTTGCCATTTGCAACAGCATGGATGAGTCTAGGGACTATAATGCTAAGCGAAGTATATCAGTCAGAGAAAGACAAATACTGTAGGATTTCACTCATTTAAGAAACAAAACAAACAAGGGATGCCTGTGTGTCTCAGTCGGTTAAGCATTTGACTCTTGGTAATGGCTCAAGTCATGATCTTCTAGTGGTGAAATTGAGCCCCCTGTCCAGCTCCATGCTGAGAGTGGAGCCTGCTTGGGATTCTCTTTCTCCCTCGCTCTCTGCCCTTCCCCTGCTCATGTGAGAGCACATTCTCTCTCTCAAAATAAATAAATAAATTTTAAAAAAAGGAAACAAAACAAATGAACAAAAGAAAAATAGAGACAAACCAAAATATAGACTCAACTATAGAGAACAAACTAATCGCTATCAGAGGGAAGGTGGGTTGGGAGATAGTTGAATAAGTTGAAAGAATTAAGTGTACACTTATCTTTTTTTGAGAGAGAGAGAGACAGAGAGAGAGAAAGTGTGTGTAAGAGTAGGGGAGGGGCAGAGAGAGAGGGAGAGAGAGAATCCCAAGCAGGCTCCACACGGTCAGTGCAGAGTCCTACATGGATGGGGCTTGATCCCATGAACCATGAGATCATGACCTGAGATGAGATCAAGAGTTTGACTCTTAACAAACTGAGCCACCCAAGTGCCCCAAGAGCACATTTATTTTGATGAGCTGACTAATGTATAGAATTGTTGAATCACTACATTGTACACCTGAAACTAATATAACACTGTATGTTAACTATACCGGAATTAAAATAAAATAATAATAATACTGTCCTTTAATTATTAAAAAATTGAATATTTATATTAGATGCTGTTTGTAACCTTTTGTATACAGTGGTGGATGACATAAACTTAACAACAAAGCAGTAATCAAGCAACTCAATCCTCTGACGTAATCGCAAATCAAGAAGTCAACTGGGAAAACCTACTGTAAGAGTAAATAGCTATATTTCAGAACTTAAATAGTGCATTAATCTAGGAGAAAGCTACTGAGCTTATACAGTCTATTTTATATATAATTCTGAAGGTCTTATTAAACTGGTTTCCAATCACAACAGATTATATTAAAAAAAGACAGTGGGCTAGTGAGTCTAAGGAGCAGATACTTGGACGGTGATAAAATGGTGACATCTAACTACAAAAAGGAGCAAAAATCAGACATATCTCCATACTGCAGAATACTAAACTGAGTATTCAAATGATCCCCAAATTAATCAGAAACAAGTTAAATTCTATTCCACAGACTCCATTTGAGAAACTATATACCATTTAGAAAAGTTTCCATCAAGAACTCTTTTAAAATAAAATTTAGGCTCTTTAAGAATTGAGTCTCACTGATCCAGAAATTGTCTATTATAAGGCAGAGATGTGAATCAAATGAGTTACCATCATGTCTAGAGAAGAATTCTATTCTGATTGCTTTAAAAAATTTGTTTCTCAACAGGTTTGAAATATCAATTTTTCTTCAAACTCTTGCCATGATTCACAGCATTGAGATGATCAATAATTCAACACTATTATCTGGAATCAAACTGGGGTATGAAATCTATGACACTTGTACAGAAGTCACAGTGGCAATGGCAGCTGCTCTGAGGTTTCTTTCTAAGTTCAACAGCTCCAGAGAAATCATGGAGTTTAAATGTGACTATTCCAGCTACATGCCAAGGGTTAAGGCTGTCATAGGTGCTGGCTACTCAGAAATAACCATGGCTGTCTCCAGGATGTTGAATTTACAGCTTATGCCACAGGTGGGTTTTGTTTTATCCTTGGTTGGTTTTGATCATATTCCTTATTATGAGGGGATCAGGGTAACCCAGGAAACTAGCTGGGGAGTTGCTCTTACTTTAACCTTCTCTTTCTTCAGTTAAAGAAAGGTATGTGCCCTATTATGGATAGTATAGTGGATAGAGCACTAAGGGACTATAGTCGCCCCTCCACCTGCCAAATGTAGTTTCTGATAGTTTTCAGTGAGATTAGGATAAGACGGAAATCTCTGAGGGCCTCAGCTGCCTTGTTTCTGAAATAACACCAGTTGGGTGCTATGAGGAGACTGAGAAGTAAAGGGACATGGAGGTCAGGGAAGACTTCCTGAAACTTGAATGAGAAAGGACACCCAAGGGAAGACAAGGAGGGCAGGACAATATCTATGCTGGGAAAACAGTAAGTCCAAAGTTGAAATGTCCAAAGAATAACAAAAGATCAGTATAGCTAGATCAGTTGTATAGAAAGGAGTACAGTAAGAAGTGCATTTGCAGAGATAAGCAAGGACTGGTCATTCAGCATCTTGTAAGCTGTAGTAGGATTTGCATTTTCTTCTGAGTATGGTGGGAAGCTTTTAGCAGAGACTATGGAACTATGTATCTCCTTGTAATGCAAGCCAATAAATAATCAAGAAGTAAGCAAAAAGCCCTCTGAAAGCCCTTCACCAAGGTCCTGCATATTACTCAGAGTCAAGCAAGTTGCCTTGGCTTTCACTCTCAATACATTGCTCTGTAACTCACTAGGTCACTGCTTTCTAGGCTCAAGGAAGATTAGAAGCCAACAGTTAGAAAGCAAAAATAATTACAATCAAATTATCAGGAAAAGGCCATCTGATAGAAGTGAACAGATAGAAAAATATAAATCATATATTAAATGTGCATAAGAATTTAAAATATATAACTTTCTGGAGGTAGAGTAAATAAGATCTTGCATCCATGAAAGACTCTGAGAGTTCCATTATATAGCCTAGTAAAGTTGATAAAAAAAATTTATATCCATAATGAAAAAAACCCCAGAATTATTCTCCTAAATATCTCAGAGATAAGGCTTTGGCTCAAATTGTCTAGACTATGTATAATGCTATGAGAAAAGTACATTATTTTTAACAATGATTATTTCATATAAAAAGGTAATTTCCATGACAGACAACACAAAAGGAAACGGGGCTCTGCAGGGGACACTGATTTTACAGAAACCCAGGTCTCAAAATACAGATGAGCACAGCAATGCCAGGTACAAAATGGAGGCCAGCATAGCAATGTCAGGAAACTAAAGTTTAGTTACTGTCCACTGTGTGCTAATAACCATTTCAATTTTCTCCTTTAATCTTCACAAGAATCCTATCATTTCACACGTAAAGAAATATTAACTAACTTCCCCAAATTTATTGAAGTCAGAATTCTGACAGTTTGTCTGACTCTAAAGCCTACTGACTTTCCACCATACCAGGTGGCTGCTATAAGTAATAGAAAAAAAAAAAAAAAGACTCAGCAAGTGACACAGTGCATTTGCAGCTGTGGCAGGTAGTAATTCTCCCTAGAATAAAATCACCAGAACTGTAAATCAAGCAAAACTCTGTACACATTAGGTAGGTATCTCAAAATGCTATTTGTTTGAGTAGATCAGAGGTCAGAAAACTATAGCGTGTAGATCAAATGTGGCTCTTGAGCTATCAAGAAGGGTGTTTACATTTTTTTTGAAAGGTTGTAACAAAAAAAGATATGACAGAGACCATATGTGATCAACGAAGCTTAAAATACTTTACACCTGGTCCTTTGCAGAAAAAAGTGTGCTGACCCCTAGACTGGATGATCATTTGGCTGGTTGACTTATTTGACCTAGAATAAAAATCACCAAAGTTGTCAATTAGACAAAATGTTGAACATACCGGGTGTCCTAAAAATGCATTCTGTTTATTGGACTAGCTGCATTTTTCCTATATTTATCTCTAAGTATTTAAATAATATCCACTATTGGCCTTGGCCTGAGATATAAGATAGATATAGGTGGATACAGAAGTGTAGATGGAAGCATAAGATAGAGCCTGAACTTTCAGAGAGCTTGTACTATACACAATAGAAATGACTGAAGAGCGATGACTCTAAAGAGTTGGCACACAATTACTAAATGTCATGATTTACACTGTCTCTAAAGCAGAAGTTCATTGAAGGGGAAGAATATAAAAGACCAGAGAATTTAGGAAAAGATTACAGAAATTCACAGAAATGAGAGGGGAACACCCAGTATGAACAGCCACCTGGAGTTCATCAGCACCATAACTAAAAGATTCTGTCAATTTCCAGGTGAGTTATGAATCAACTGCAGAAATCCTAAGTGACAAAATTCGCTTTCCTTCATTTTTACGGACTGTGCCCAGTGACTTCTATCAAACTAAAGCAATGGCCCACCTGATTGAGAAGTCTGGATGGAACTGGATTGGCATCATAGCCACAGATGATGACTATGGACGAATGGCCCTCAACACTTTTGCAGTTCAGACCACAGCAAATAATGTGTGCATAGCTTTCAAAGAAGTTCTCCCAGCCTTCCTCTCAGATAATACCATCGAAGTCAGGATCAATGAGACACTTGAGAAAATCATAGCAGAAGCCCAGGTTAATGTCATTGTGGTATTCCTGAGGCAATTCCATGTTTTCAATCTCTTCAGTAAAGCTCTAGAAAGGAATATAAATAAGACATGGATTGCCAGTGATAACTGGTCAACGGCCACCAAGATTACAACCATTCCTAATGTTAAAAGGATTGGCAAAGTTGTAGGGTTTACCTTTAGAAGAGGGAATATGTCTTCCTTCCATTCCTTTCTTCAAAATCTGCATATATTTCCCAGTGATAATAACAAAGTCTTAAATGAATATGCCACACTCTTGTCTGCTTGTGCGTATGTCAAGGACAGTGATTTGAGTCAGTGCATTTCCAACCATTCTCAGGGGACTTTGGCCTACAAGGTTAACAAGGATATAGAAAGGAACTTCTCCCTGAGAAATGATTTCCTGTGGGATTATACTGAGCCAGGCCTTGTTCACAGTATCCAGCTTGCAGTACTTGCTCTTGGTTATGCCATTCGGGATCTCTGCCAAGCTCGCGACTGTCAGAACCCCAACGCCTTTCAACCATGGGAGGTACTAACTCATACATTCAAGAAAATTCCCCTGCCATCCTTCCTTTCCTTGCTTTAATTTTCAAGTATTTATATTAACTGTCTTAATCGTATTCCTTTTGAAGGTAGATACATTAAGTGTTCAAATAACATGCAATTCTCTCATTAGCTCTTTGTTCTTGAGGATAATAGAGTTGTTATTTTACCTTCACTACTCTGACCCACTAAAGTAGTGCTCTTTTATTTTCCAAGAAGATCCAGTTGGTAGTATTATTTTTTGTGAGTGTATGGATTTGTATCTGATCTTGTAGTTTTTCAGTGCTTCATATGAATTATCTCTTTTAGTGCTCTTGACAAACACAAGACCAGGCATGTTTAACAGTCATTTTTATTATCACTAAATATTATCAGTTGAAAAACTAAAGCTAGAAACACTAGAAATATTACTCTTGTCTGGATCTTCTGCCTCCATGCCCTCTGTTTTCCATGGGATTTTGTTGGTTTATAGTTGGTTTTTGTTGGTTTAAAGCCTCCAGTCATGACTTTTACTTAGGAACAGCCTCCTTAGGACTCCAGTCTTTTCAAATGAACATTGTTAGATAAATCATAACAATTCTTATGATATCTCCGGTTGAAATGAACCACTAATTGTCGGTAAAAGACATCTTTTCATTTCTTCTCTTTGATTAGTTTGTAGAAACTCAAATTAAAGCTTAATGTGGCTCTTTTTAGTAAAAATTTTCCATTGTGTTTTTTAAATGCCGATAAACAAGACATTTGAAAGCAAATTGTTGCCTTATATGATGAGAAATTTTACTCATTAAAAACAGATTTCTCAATACTGTGTACTCAAAGCCAAACTTGTCTGTTTTGATGCAGAATCATGTCCCAAAAATATATTTATTATAAATGTGTAAGGAAAAAGAAGGTGAAAGGAAGTAAGACTCAAGTGTTACCATATACGGGAGTATGCAGGGCAGACTATTTCTACTTTTGTCATTTTTACTTTAAACAGTCCCAAACACAAGCACCAAGGTCTAAGGTCATCCACTTACATTTGGGTGGATCATGTGATGGTATAGGGTGTTTTAAATTTCTCATTTTAAAACCAGTTTTGATCTTGTAAATGCAAGGCAAAAAAAACTAATAAGGAGGTAAGACTAGAGATTAGGATTTTTTAAGTTAAAACTATAGTTATATATATATAACTATATATATATATATTTTAGATAGTATATATATCTATATATATATACCTATATATATATATGCCTAGATATATATAGTATATATATCTATATATATATATATGCCTAGCTATTTTAAGATGTCTGTTTGAAAGTATACTCTTTGTAATAGAGAACTTAAATCAGGGATTGATAAAAACTACAAATGAAGTGGACCACAATAATGAAACCACTACATGAAATTTTAAGAATGAGAGGTTGAGAAAGAGTAATAGAAATTAGACAATCCTAGAGGCAGGATAAAGGGGAGGAGACATAAAGAGCCTCTAAGGAAGGATAGATAAAAATAGCAAGGACTATTTATCCACTAAAGATCTGGGAAAGTATTTTAAATCGGGAATGAATCTCAAACATTCTGAGGAAAAGACTTGGGAAAGTATAATCTAAGCAGAGTCTTCTAAAATGTTTTGTTTAAACAGTAGGAGCCTGGGGTTATTCTTTATTCCCTCTGGGAGCCTGGTTACCTAGAAACAAACAGGAAATAGACTGGAAAGGAAGAACATGTGAGTGACTTGCTCTTTTGATCACAACGTGAGTGAACCACATCTGTGCCAGATTCAGTAGGACAAACAATGCAAATAATTTTTATGAAGAAATCTCCATAGACTTCAAATTTAAAAGATCAGCAGTACCTAGGGTCACTAATCAATGATACATTCCTAAAGATTATTTTGTCCCCTGGTAAGATTCACTAATATCTAAATATTACTTTCTAGATAATTTTATATTCAAATAACTTTAAAGGAGTTTTTCCCAATATTTGGGGACAGTTCTTACTTTGGCTCCACATTTGGTGACACCTATGAGAAGTATTCAGGAAAAGCACAGTCAGGATTGTTTTACTTCAATACAATTTTGATGTTTCTCAGATGTGCATGAGGATACCACCTCCTTGTTGTAAACAGTGATTTTGGGTTTTTGTTTGTTTGTTTTCCTTTACTTATGATGACATAGAAAGTAGTAAGTGATGCATGTGAGATGACAGACTTATAGTCAAACTTCCCATGTGTACATATATTTAGCAAACATTTATTGGATGCCTCAATGCTCTAGTTCAATGTTGAGTGTTGAAAGTATTAGGGAAAACAAGACAATTCTCTTCCTGAAGGAGTCATCTGTCCACTGGTGTGTACAATCAACCAATTAAGGAGTTGATTACAATGCAGAATGATGCATTACTATGTTTCATAGAGACACAAAATGGCAGCGAAGCACTTAACTGAGGCAACCAATCCAGTATTAGCAATTCAGAAAACATTCTCCAAAGACCATACGTCTCTGGAGAATATGATGGATGGGTAGGAGTTAGGACACAAATACTCCAGCAAGATCTGAGAAGGGAGGGTAAGTATGGCATCTTCAGGGGTAAGTAAATAGTGTCACAGAATTGGAGTTTCTTGTGGAAACTACAGGTAAATGAAAGTAGAGGAAGGATCCAACATCAGGGTCTAATGAATCAGAGCATCTCAAATTTTGATTTGCAGTTGAATGGCCTGGGAATCTCATATCATGTATCTGCTAATTCTGTGGGGGGATACCTGAGAGTCTGCACTTCTAACAGTCTCTCAGGTGATGTTGATACTGCTAGTCCAGGGACCATCGTTTCAATAGAAAGGCTGCAAACTATGTTTAAAGGTTTGGACTTGATAGAGCAAAGCAAGCCAATTAAATCTATTTTGAGACAAGACAGTGTTCTGATCTGCTTTTCACTGCAGAAGTAGCATTTCATTTCCACTGTGGTGTGCACTGCTCAGAGGGACACAAGCCTAGAGGCAGAAGGATCAATTTGGTAATCCAGTCACAAAATAAGGATGGCTTATACTCCAGGTATAAGTACTACAAGCACTGTGTGTGACAGTGAGGATGGAGATGCATACATGGTTGTGTAAGAGGAAGAATGAAGAACATCTGTAGATAGACTGGGTGTAAAAGATGCAAAGAGAAGCAAAGATGCTGCAAGTGATTCCACATTTGGACATTTGATGACTTTGTTGAGAAGGAAACAAAAATGTAGAGGTTTGGTGGGGAGGAGAAGTATTAAAGATTCTGTTTTGGAGATGTTGAATTCGAAGAACTTATGAGACATTCAGGTGTAGCAACGGAAGAAATGTGTGCTGAGAAGAGAGTGATTTTGAAGTGATAAGGAAAATAATAACTAACAATTTTTGAGGGCGACTATACCAGGCATTGACATATATGATCTCTAACCTCTATAATATTCTGGTAGGTCCACAGGTTTGTGTTTCTTACACTCCATCTTTTTTAAAAAAATTTTTTTAACGTTTATTCATTTTTGAGACAGAGAGAGACAGAGCATGAATGGGGGAAGGTCAGAGAGAGAGGGAGACACAGAATCTGAAACAGGCTCCAGGCTCTGAGCTGTCAGCACAGAGCCCGACGCGGGGCTCAAACTCACGGACCACAAGATCATGACCTGAGCCGAAGTCAGACGCCCAACCGACTGAGCCACCCAGGCGCCCCTCTTACACTCCATCTTAAAGAAGTGGCAAGAGGAAATGTTACCAGTGATGGAGACTTGTGGCAGTTTAGAGACGGACGGGGCCTCCACAATGAGGGTCTGGCCACGGTCCCCCACACAGTTAGCAGTGCGACTATCCCAGCCTTAGCCCAGGGTGCTTTCTGCTACGGTACAGAAAATTTCACAGAAGAAAAAGACATGGGTTGGGCACCAGACAGGGATGCAAGGCTGCTTCCTCTGCTCTCTCTAATTCACCCACAAGCACAGCTTTCTTAGGAAGATGTGGACATTGCAGCAGTCAGGGAAATGGAAAACAGCATTACCAACAACAGCTTAGTTGGTGTGGCCCCCTGGCTTTGTGTTCTCAAAAACAGGTCATTGCCATACACAGGGTGAGTTATATAATCATGGAAACGCAACTCTTACTGTTTAATGGTGTCAATTTATAGCGACTTTAGAGTCTCCATGGAAAATAAATAAATAAGTGCTGGAAAAAGCCTTTAAGAGCTTAGTAACCAGAGCACTAATGTTCAAAATTTACCTTAATCCAGAGCAAACGTTGTGTTTTAATTAACAGGTAACGAATGCACTGTTTTGTTTGCCTCCACCCTCTCTCCTGTGAGAACAAGCATAGTTATGTTGGCTTAGGTACTTCATACACCGTTATCGCTATTTACAGAATGTATATGTGCCAGAAAACCTAATTAAGTGCAGGGAAAAACAAGTAGAAATTATAGTTCAAACTCAAAAGAGGAAAAGGATATGCTTCCTAAAGAACCGAGTTACTGGGGTTTATGTGTGTATTGCTTAAGGAGGGAACAGAAAAAAAAAATCAACACACAGGTGGAGGTGGAAACACTGACAGTGGGTCCTTACTTCCTCTTTTATTTTTGTTCCCTTCATATTTTTTCTTCTAGGCAATTGCTAGAAAAAGCTTTTGTTGGTTAATTCCACCATATTAAATCTGATATCCTGCTTCTTTAAGTCTATTTATTTTGAGACACAGAGAGAGTGGAGGAGGGGCAGAGAGAGAGGAAGAGAGAGAATCCCAAGCAGGCTCTGCACTGTCAGCTCAGAGCCCAGTACCGGGCTGGAACTCACGAACTGTGAGATCATGACCTGAGCCGAAACCAAGAGGCAGATGCTTAGTTGACTGAGCCACCCAGGTGCCCCTGATATCCTGTTTCTTTAAAGTAATACTAAGTATTTTACATTCATTAAGAGAACTAAGAAATCTGTGGAAACATATAATAAAATTAATACAAATACTCATATATTTTACTAACGTGACATTTGGTCACTGACCTGCCTATCGTGACTAATATATTTACCTTAAAATATAGCTTGATTTTCTTATAGTCTATTGACCAAAACAAAAATTGAAGGAAAGAAACATTCATAAAAGATGAACTGATAAGGAATAGAAGAATAATTCTATTCGAATAGAATAATTTCTGCCTCGTTCCAGATTTTGCACTCAACAAGAACCACATAACATCATAGACTTAGATGAGTAGGCCCAGTGTGTCCAGAAAGGGTATTTACTTAGCCGTGATTATATATCAAGTTAATGGCGGAGCAGTGTTTTTCTCTCTCCCAGAACAGCGATCTTCCTCTGCAGCACAATCTCAATACAGCTGCCTCATTTGTCAGTAAAACATTTCCTGTCCTAGCTGTTTTACATACAAGTTCTCATGTACGAACTCGGTAACAGGACAAGTAATTTTTCATTGCATTTCTTTCCTCTGAAATTAAAAAAAAAATCATTTTGTGAATTACATTGGAAAGGTCACTTTATACTCAATCACTGAAACAGATTTGAAAACCACTGAAGATAATAATATCCGTACCTCCAACCAAATGAGTAACAAAGGATGTATTTAGAAGGCAGGTACTGGCAGTACCTTATACCCCGAGCTAAACCTCTCTGGTGGGAGATGTCCTGAGAACAGGGTGCTGTTGTCACTGGACTGTCCCATGTTTGTATGTCTGTCCCCTTAGCCTTCATTTTGCGGATGGTGAGCATAACACCTACTGGTTTGGATTACCCACTCAGGCTTGGCCAAGGATCCAACTGTGACTAGAAGGAAAGAATGAATTTTCCTGCCTCCGGTAGCTCCAGATGACACATCGATAACTGCTTTTGAGTCAGATGGAAAATACAATATGGAGGACTTGAATTAAAATATTGTTAGGTGCAATGGAGAGACCTGAAAGTCAAAATGTGTGTCCTCAGATTAAGTCCACTCACCCCTTTGCTGATGGTGCTCACCTAAGAAAGGAGGAAGATGATCTCTGTTCACTTGTTTCATTGAGTTGTTATGGAGAAGAAGGATATCGCACTTCTGAGTATTATCAAGTAATATATGAACATCAGGTGACATAATTAATAGACTCAAAATATTTTTATTTATTTGCACAATGTCCTTATTAGCTAACTAATAGTGTTAACAGATATTAATATACCCTTTACTAATCTTAATCTGTCCCCAATACTGGGATAAACTCCTTATATGCTTAATTACATACAATCCTTACAATAACCCTATAAGGTAGGTTTCATTTACTTCATTTTACAGATGGGGAACCTGGACCTAGAGAGAAATTTAAGTGTCAAGACCACATCACAGGTTCATATAGAACCTGTATTAGAGCCCAGGCAACTGCCCCAGAGGACCTATCCTGAAATTGTGCAACGTGAAAAAATGAAGATCCTCATATTCCAATTTTATAAGCTAGAGAAGCTACTCTCCATAAACATTAACTTGCTTTCTCAGATTCACAGAACAAGACTTTGGCAGAAATAAGGCTAGAATTGTCAAATTGTTGCCAGATAGTTAAGAACCTTCTCAACTAGTTACCATACTCACCGATCCAGAATGTCCTTTTTCTACTTTTAAGTGATATTCCATATAAGGCAATGTTATAATTGGGATATAATGGATGCATATTTCTCATGTTTGTTTCTATTTTCTATTTTATAGTTACTTGATGCACTAAAAAATGTGACATTCACTGATGAAGGGAATTCATTTCATTTTGATGCTCACGGGGATATGAATACTGGATATGATGTTGTGCTCTGGAAGGAGATTGATGGTCACCTGACTATCACCAAGATAGCACAATATGATCTGAAGAATGATGTCTTCGTCATCACAGACCAAGAAACAAAAAATGAGTTCAGAAATCTTAAGGTAATTTTGCAGTAGGCTGCTTATAGCATTCAAATCAAATTAGTACCTCAATTGCAAAAGTCCTTGACCCCACCAGGACCTCCAGTGATCCTACTGCCTGTTTACTGTCCCCATCTTCCCTCCTTAAAAGCTATGGTCAACTTGTGTGTCACCCCTTGTACATGCTCTCTTTATCATACTCATTTGACTAGAGCATAATCCTGGTTAAACTCAACTCTTTGCCTAATCAGTAGAGCCCCCATGTAGCTGAACTTGAACTTGGCAAAACAAAAACAAAGCCAAAAGCACCTTGTTGACTGTTCTCACTTCAAAGTCATGATCTCTAACTTCCAGCGGGCCCTTAGCGCTGTTGGGCAATCAGACTATTACCTTACTTAGTCCATTAACTCACCTACCTTCCTAGATAGCTATTTCATAATTTTTATTCCCTTTTCTGATCCAACACATCTTCCCCATCTTCACTTTTAGGTGACTTTTCTTCCTATGTCACTAACAAAAGTGAAACACTCAGAAGAGAACAGCAGTGTTCCCCTGCCACCACATCTGTCTTCCATCCAGCACTATGGATGGGCTGTCTGCTCCTGGCCAAGGTCAGCTCCTCCCTTGATCTCTGGATCCCAACTCTTTACCACTTACTCTGTGATACTGCTCTGGCAATTCTCCACTCTCTCCCACATCCTCAAGTATTTTCTCTTCTCCATTATCTACATAGTGATATAAATATGCTGTTATTCCTTCCATGTTCCAAAAAAAGAACAAAACTCCATTGATCCTCCACTTCTCCTTCTATGTACTGCCCATTCCTCTATTTCTCTTGACACCAAAACTCCTTGAGAAATTTAGATACATTCACTGGCCCCAATTTCTCTCTTCCCATAATTCTTTTGAACTCTTTCCAATCCATCAAAATTCTTTCTATCTAGTTCACCAATGTTAACAAAACCAAAAATCATCTCACTAATTATTAGTAATTAATTATTCTCCTCTCTGTAAAATGCTCTTTATTGTTCCCACAACACCACAGTCCCTTGATTTTCTTCCTCTGTCTCTGGCCACTATTTCTTAGTCTCCTTTGCTGGCTCCTTATCATTCCAGCTGCCTATAAATATTGGCTTATCCAGAGCTCAGAACTGCTCCTTTCCTGGGTCTACACTTTGCCTTAGTGATCTCATCCAGGCTCATGATTTAAATAATGTCATTCATTAATAGAGAAGGCAGATGACTCCCAGCTTTTTATCTTCTGAAGTTCAATCCTAATAAATATACAACTGTGCAACTGACATCTCTACCTTGGAGTCTAATAGTCATCTTGACTGATTACCTCCAAAACTGAGCTCCCAAACCTACCCTCATCTCAATAAATGGCAATTTCCTTTTAGTTGTTCATGGAAAAACCTGGCGGAATCCTTGTCATGCTTCATATCCAATCTAAGTTTCACTTTCAAAATGGGCCTAGGATCTTACCACCTTTTGTTCTCTACTCCACTGCTACTACTCCAGTCCAAGCTACAATCACCTGTCACCCAGAATAAGACAGTAGTCTTCTAACTGCTCTCTGTTTCCACTCTTACTCACTGTGGTCTATTCTTAAAGCAGCAGACAGAGTAATCCTATAAACTATAATACTCTACTCAAAACACTCCCATACATCCTGTTTCTTTTAGGGTAAAAGCCAATATCTTTAAAAACCTTACATGACCTGCCACTAGGACCTACCTGACCTCATCTCCTACTACCTTCCCCTCCCCCTTGCCTCTTCTTCCAACCCCACAAGATTTCTTGTTCTTCCATATGTACCTTCCTTTCTCCTAGCTCAAGTCCAAAACATCAGATAATCCCAAATCTTTTGCTATCCCAAAGTTATTAATACCAGACTTTAGAATGTCTTTGCTGTATCTTATGATAAGGGAAGAGAATATTTCTCCTTTACCCCCAGTGATGTCCTGCCTACTGACAACCCAGATCAGGAATAACTGTGTTGAGAAGAAGAAAACCACCATTGTGGACTCAGGGGTACTGAATCTTGGCTACTTTTTCTTTCCCAGCCAGATCATTTTCATCTCCCAGAGAAAAGACCAGTTAGCTTAGTCATTGGATTGTGTTCCTGGCTCAGGAATAGCTATTAAGAGAATCTAGAGAAAGCTTCATTTACCCATTCTGCTTTGGTATCTCGAAAGGTAAGATAGTAACAGATTTACTTCACAAGTTATGCATGAGAAAGGGACTGTGAATGGGAAAAAAAAGCATAGCTGAAGTACAAAGAATTATTAGTTAAATTGGAAACTGAGCGCTCCGTAAAATTAGGATGCTACATATGATTTACATTGTGACATGCCTAATTATAGGCATGCCTAAAATATTATTTATATATCTAGGGTTACCTTTTTCACTAATACTTTAATAGCTTTAAGTTCAAAATTTCCACTCTTTTGTTTTTAAGCTTAGACTGGACAAAGTCTTTGGACAGCATGATTAATAACCTTCCTCTAAAGAATATAAAAGTGTCCATTAAGTTACTATTTTTCATATATAGTTGAACTCTTTATACAACACATGACTGGAAATTTCCAGGCCATGATTTCCTTCTTTAGTTCCATCACTACACATTTGTTCCTCCGCTAGGGACTTTCTGAAAGAGCTAATTTCCCTTATTTGCTTTCAGAAGTTATTAAGGTGACAAAAGTACTTCTTCCTAAGGCAGCTTCACTACCTGAAGTATCTTCTGCTTTTTAAACTTGTTCACATGCCTCCAGATGACAAAACAATTCTATTGTGCTTTTTAAAAACAAGAGAGGGAGAGACCAAAATACTAGTTAGTAACTGTATCTTTAAATCAATCAAGGTTAGTTAGGAAAATAAATCTTTTAAAAATATACTTGAAATTTCTTTCACTTTGCAGCAAATTCAGTCTAAATGCTCCAAGGAGTGCAGTCCTGGGCAAATGAAGAAAACTACAAGAAGTCAACATATCTGCTGCTATGAATGTGTGAACTGTCCTGAAAATCACTACAGTAACCAGACAGGTAAATATAGTCACTACACCATGTACAGTGAATCACCAGAAACATTTCTCCTAGGCTGACTATTTTTTTTACATGAATCCTATTTTGGCTTACATTTTCATTTAAAAAAAAAAAAGCATCTCATGCTCTTGCTAGATTAAATTCCAGTAAAATTTCATTTTATCTTGGAATTTGCTCTATTATATCAGCAGATGCACAACCAATACCTAATAGAGACATAAAAGTAACTTCACTTCCAAGGGAAGATGTCATCTGCTCAACTAGACTTCCTCTCTTGCATCTTTCAAAACAACGTGATTTCTCCACCAATTTTTGTCTGTTTATCCCCCACATGGACATGCCGGTCTTGTAACTGGGGCACAATAACTATAATTAAATAAGTGTTGAATTAGCTAAACTGAGCATGATAAAAACCCAGGGGTGTGCATACCCTGGAGATCTCATTATTCCTACCAAAAGGCAGCAAACAGTAAAGCCTAAAAAAAAAAAAGCCTTCTGTGAGAAAAGGGGATAAACTATTAACAAAGATGAGCTGCTACTAACTGATTATTTGCCTAACCTGTCTTTAACAATTTCACAAGATCAGTGCAAAATATACAAAGTAAAGAACAAGGTCAGCAGCCTCAGGGTCTTAAAAGGAGCAATCAGCAGTTACCCTGGAGTCAAATTTTGACTTCAAAATCCATACTTTAAAAGCATCGTATTCCCTTGTTTATTGTCGCATCCCTACTCATCTATAAAAGTTGTGAACCTGAGAACTGGAGCAGCTCTCAGATGCTTACTCTTTTTTCTCACTGACTCCAAGGGGAGAAGTATCACAATATAAACGTTCCAATAGTCTTGTTCTGTGGCTATCTCACAAAAATGCTGCTTCTCCTAACCTGAGATGGGCTCTGCTGTGCAAACAATTAGGTAATTGTGGGGGAGAGAGATTTTCTAGGCAATGTCTACCAACTGTCTGCAGAGTGGGATAAATAAAAATGCTGGAAGAGTGTGTCGCATTTATTTCCCATAAAGACACACAAGAGTTTTCAAAATACAATTTGGGCTGTCTTTTGATAACCAAGGCAAGAATAAGTGTAGAAGACTGCTTTTCCTTCGGAGGAAAAGCAAAGATTTAGGGTGATATGAAAAGACATCATCTCCTGTCTTTCTCTCTGTCTCCAGCACACAGCTCTCGTACGTAGACAAGGCCATTAAACGTTCGCCAAACAAGCGAAGAAAATGGCACACAGTAGCAGTGGCAGTTAGGGGAGGACAGAGAAGAACCGCTTTTGTAGGGAAACAGGGTTTGGAAAGAGGAAGAGGCTGGAGAGGTAATGAAGTTCATAAACAGAAACACAACCTGACTTTGAGGTTAACGAAGAAGGGAATGCAGGCCCTATATAAAAATGAATGGGCACTGTGGAGTGTTCTCAGATGGATGCCCAGGGAGCGCCCTTTGGCAATACGGGGGACCCCACCTTTAAGGGGTGAAAATGGAGAGCAAATGCAATCACACTCCCAGGGACTCCACTCTGATATCAACTCTTCCTTCTCTGCCATCAGAATAAGCCAAAATCAGTTTTAAGCTTATCACTGCACATGTGAGTTTACTGACATGTTTACTGACAAGTTTACTGACGTCCTAGAGAAAAAAAATAAACTTTAATTTTTCATCAATTGAAGTGGTTACAATCCTGTGTTATCTCACTTTTAGAGAGCTTTTAGGGTGACCCAGCCATATTTTCTCTGCTTTTAAAAGAACTGCAGCCTTATTTATAATAGCAGTTCTCACTACATTTAGTGTCTACTATGTGTAACACTCCACACAAAGAAGTTTACATTTATTCTGGGCATCGAATGCAGCACCCCAGTGAGGCAGAGCCTTTTTTTTTTTTTTTTTTTTTTTTTTTTTTTTTTTTTTGCTTTTTTAAAGATTTGAAAATAGACTCAGAAAGTTCAATTCACTTAGTCAAGATTAAGGGAATTAAAAGTGATAGAGAAAGGGACTTGAGATACATTTGATTCCAAAGCCCTTCTTTTTTTTTAAGTTTATTTATTTATTTTTGAGAGGGCAAGGGGCAGAGGGAGAGAGAATCCCAAGCAGGCTGTGTGCTGTCAGCTCAGAGACTGACGCGGGGCTTGATCTCATGAACCCTGAGATCATTATCTGAGCTGAAACCAAAGTTGGATGCTTAACCAACTGAGCCACCCAGGCACCCATATTTCAAAGCCTTTCTTAACAGAGTCCCTGAACTGCCACCTATAATAGCAAGTTCATAAGAGGCTGGCATCTATCTTGAGTATATGGATTCCCTTAAGACTCACAGCCCACCTGGGTTTTTTGCTTTCTCTTCTCCTCTTTTTCTTCCCTCACCCTCACACTTTCTCTCAACTTCTTTTGGGTTCTTTTGGGTTCTGTCAACCAATGTGACAATTATCTATATCCCTTAGTAATAGTCCGCACTATTACTAAGAAGGACTCTCATTTGTAGCATCATTGTGGACAATCAATCACCTGGCTTAAATGTTTGCAATGTAACTGAATCTCTGTCTTTTAGATATGGATCACTGCCTTTTATGTAACAATGAAACTCAGTGGGCCCCTGTAAGGAGCACAGCATGCTTTGAAAAGGAAGTGGAGTATCTCAGTTGGAATGACTCCTTGGCCATACTGCTCCTGGCCCTCTCCCTACTAGGAATCATGTTTGTTCTGGCCATTGGCATAATATTTACAAGAAACCTGAACACGCCTGTTGTGAAATCGTCCGGGGGATTGCTGGTCTGCTATGTGATCCTTCTCTGTCATTTCCTCAACTTTGCCAGCACGGGCTTTTTCATTGGAGAACCACAAGACTTCACGTGTAAAACCAGGCAGACGTTTTTTGGTGTGAGCTTCACTCTCTGCATCTCCTGCATTTTGGTGAAGTCCCTGAAAATTCTGCTAGCCTTCAGCTTCGACCCCAAGTTGCAGAACTTCCTGAAGTGCCTCTATAAACCCATCCCCATCATCTTCACTTGCACAGGTATCCAGGTTGCCATTTGCACAATCTGGCTAATCTTTGCAGCACCTGCTGTGGAAGAGAATGTCTCCTTGCCCAGAGTCATTATCCTGGAATGTGAGGAGGGATCCATCCTTGCATTTGGCATCATGCTGGGCTATATTGCCATCCTGGCCTTCATTTGCTTCATATTTGCCTTCAAAGGCAGGAAACTACCCGAGAATTACAATGAAGCCAAATTCATAACATTTGGCATGCTCATTTATTTCATAGCTTGGATCACATTCGTCCCCGTCTATGCTACCACATTTGGTAAATATTTACCAGCTGTGGAGATTATCGTTATTTTAATATCGAACTATGGGATCCTGTGTTGCACATTCTTCCCCAAATGCTATGTTATTCTTTATAAGCAGGAGACTAACACAAAATCTGCCTTTCTCAAGATGATTTACAGTTACTCTTCCCACAGCGCAAGCAGCCTTGCCATGAGTCACGTTTCCCTGGACTCCTCTAGCAGCAACATCACAGCGACCAATCCCAGCTCCGGTGGCAGGCCTGCAGCCTGGCAGGAAAGCAGGGATATCCGGGCACAGGCATTTGCACACACACGCAGAGAAAACGCTGCAAGTATGTCTAAAACTTGGCCTCGGAAAAGAATTTCAAGTATTTGAAGGAGTCCTTAAGAAATGGCATGTTCTGGAATAAAATGTCTCCAGGGTCTCTGTGTTTAAAATGTGATTTGTTTCCCAACAAATATATTCTATGTGTTTCTTCACTGCCACCGTGTTCACCAATTTTTGGTTGAACACTCCCTCTGTCCAACCACTTCTTTAACAAAGAAAATAGTACCCTCAGCCTGGAAATGCCTTCATTCCTTATCACCTCCATCTGTCTCCATCTTTATCTCCTTCTTCTTAGACACATAGTTAAAGGTCTCTTTCCTATTTGAAATTAGCCCATCATATATCATGCTCATTGTGTCCTCTATCTCCTCTTCTCAGACCTTTTCATATGGGTCCTCCTTCTGCCCTAAGCATCTTTAGCTTCCCACCTCCAGGGCTCAGTTCAGTTGAACAAGCATTTGAGCAGTTACCATGAGCCAGGTGACATGCTAAATACAAAAGCACAAGGAGGATCAAAGCATCATTTCTGACCTCAAGGAGTTCAAAATCCAGGAAGACAGTCACATACAGATATCATCATTTGAGTGTGGGGATTTCTATGATTGTCTTGTGCAGATGGCACTGTGACAGGATAGTGAAGGGGGTACTTAGCCACCCTGGGGGATGATGAGAGAGCTTCAAAGAAAGCTAAATGTGGGATATGATGTTTCGGGGGAGTCTTGAAAGATGAGTAAGAGCTAATCAAAGAAAGTCAGAAAGCTGTTCTAGAAAAAGGGGGAAAGCAAGGAGCAGCAGCAGGAAGTGTGTCAAGAAGGTGTGCCAGGGGGAGTACAGTCATTTGGTATTACTAGAGAGGAGTCTTCTTTTGGATGTAGAGATTACATCATGAATGAATACCATAGACTGGAGTTATTTTTTTAAGTTTATTTATTTATTTTTAAAGAGAGAGAGAGAGAGAGAGAAGAAGAGGGACAGAGAAAGAGAAGAGAGACAGAATCTGAAGCAGGCTCCACACTGCCCGTGTGGAGCCCAATGAGGGGCTTGACGTCATGAACCACGAGTTCACGACCTGAACCGAAATCAAGAGTCAGATGCTTAACCGACTGAGCCACCCAGGCACCTGTGGAGTTCTTTTATAAGGAACTTAGGTCTTTATTTTGTGGTAAGAAAGTCATAAAAGCATCTGGCAGAAAGATGACAGGTTCAAAGTCCCATTTTAGGAAGATCACTTTAATATAGGGTAGAGGATGGAGTCTAATTGGGATAGGATTATGATCTACACCAGGGAATAAAGAATATGAATATGTATTCTGCTATATAAGAAGTGGTAATTTACCTGAAATAGTTGGTGAGAGATGAAGTATAAGCTTCTAGTTTGGTTTATTGAAGGAAATGTGCAGTGCAGGAAAAAGACTGGTTTAGAGTAATTTCAAGATATATCAAGCATTCATATGGATCTAAGACTCTGAGCTCAGGGGATAGGTCAGGGCGGGTGATGAGGATTTGAATGCCATGTTCACAATGCTGCCCATCCTTGTAAAACAGATAAACATACAAAATAGCATTGTCTCCAATCTTGACATTCTCTTTAACTACAACCCTATTTCTCCTTCCTCTTCACAACTGAATGTTAAGGAATAGTGTCCTTATTGACTTTTGACCCACTGAACCTACTGATATCTGGCTTCTAGTTTCACCACTCTGCCAAAATAGTTCAGAGAAAGTTGCCTGTGAATTTTTATCTGTCAGATTCAATGGTCATTTTTAAGCTTTCACCTCCCTTGAATCTGATAGGCATTTGTGGTATAATTCCTCCTCCTTGAAATTCTCCTTCTTCATACCCTACATGATTTTCTAAAGCTTTCAATTATTCAAGACTCTTCAATCTGATGCAAAGGCTCTTTGGGTTCTATTCTGGCATCCTGACCATGTGTCTTCCTCCATGTGGCTCTTGAATGTGGGTATTCACCAGAGTTCCACCCTCAGTCTAAATCATACTCCCTCACTACAATATCATCCATCTTCGTATATTAACTTTGCCTTAGATAACTCCCCAAACCACATCTCTGGTCCAGGTCACCCTAACCAGCCCACCTACCGTCCCTTGTATTTTGACTTATCAAGGACAATCCATCATTTCCTTCTCCTGGCTCCTCCTCCTTTTTTCCATTTCTCAGCATGTCGTACCACATGTGGACTCACTGGAACCCTGAGGTTCATCCTATTCATCTTCAACTCTACCATCTGCTTCACCCTTCTACACCTTTAATTCATTACCTGTTATCTTCTAACTCCTGAATTTTTTCAGAACTTTGCCAAGATCTCTATTCCTGTTATTATTTTCTTAATCTAGGCCCCTTACCATCTCTTTCATAGATGGTTACAATAGCTTCCTAATTTGACCCTGGTCTCTCATTTTATTTCAAACGTAGAGAAGGTCTCCCTAAGCCCTCCGCTCACTTCCACTTGATGTATTTCTAGAATAAAAACCTCTTTATGTTGCTTGGTTGTCTCAAAACCTGCAGTAAGTCAAAACTCCTTATCCTGACGCCCAGGCTCTCCAAGTCCAGTATCAACTGCTGTCCCTTCCTACCTTGTATGTTACCCTTGAGAAATGGCCACCTTCTGGTGATTGTACACACACCATGCTGCTCCATGCCTCAGAATCTGCCTCTCCTCTTGGCCTTGGTGTCCTTTCTGCCCTGTCCTCCTGGAACACTCTAGCTAATCCACCAGACACAATTCTAGCATCTCTCCTCCTACCAGGCCTTATTTTCTGCCTCCGTCACTGCACCTGTTACATTCTATTGCATTTACTTGTTTTTATTTTAATTTACACAACTAACATTTACCAAGGGCCTACCATGTAACAGGCATGATTCTATGCATGGGGAATATACAATGATAAAATCCAGACATGTTGTCTCCTCTCGAGGAGTTTATATTCTGGTGTTTTCGCCATTTTACAGTGAGCAATCAGTTCTTTTGGAGCAATGCTCTCAGCTGTCCTTTCCTCTCTACTACCATGGCTATCATCATCACAGTTTAGGCCCTCATGACTCCACACCTCTGTTGCTGAAACAGTCCAAACTAGTTTCTACCCCAAGATTCCTCTTCTAATATATAGAATACATCATCACAGATCAATCTTTTTCAAGTTAGTTCCAAAGTTATTCTCCTATTCAGAAAAATTTAATAATCTCCTATCATTTTCAGAGTTAAGTTAAATTCCCCTACCTTCCTAAGAAGGATCTTCCACAGTCTTACCCCAACATGGATTGAATGTTAAACACACACACACACACACACACACACACACACACACACACACACACGACATTAATCCTAGTTTACTGCTTATCCTAAATGTATTCATATATAACATTGTGAAAATGACTCATAAAATTGTTAAGGGTAAAAAATATCCTGATGTACATGAAAGTGTTAAGAAAAGAGTATTCTGTTTGTGATTTCACTGACTCATTGCTCTGTTGATATGAAAACAGTTTTGACATGACAGCAAAGCTATAGGAGAGCTTCCAGATTCTTGAGTGTGATCACACAAAACAGAAATCTCAGCACTGTTGTGCCAATACAACAATGAAAGGAATATTGTTTCATAAGAGTTGTGACTTTTATTACAGTTACATAACTTTCAACAATTATCCCAGAATTTTTAAAAAATGCTATTTAACATAAGAAATTAAGTTCTGAACTTCTTGATGCCCAAACTATATCTTTGTCATCATGTAAAACAAACAACTAAGAAAATGACTATTGTACTTTTCATTTCTCTGTTAACTTTTGAGGCTCATAGATTCAACTGGTATAAGTTAAGTTTGCTTACTTCTTTTGGAATCAAGTGTTTCTTTTTTTATTATAAAGGTGATATCTAAATATTATTTAAAAATAAGAAAATAAAATTAAGCAAAAAGAACACACACAAAAAAGAACTTATAACTCTATGACCAACCAACAACTCACCATGATGTAAGTAGTCAACATTTTACAGGTTGTTTTATTTTTAATTTTTGTGTGTGATTTGTAGATAAATACTCTGTATTTTTTATTTTAGAAGTATAGTTTAATTCTAAATAAATCATGCATACATACATGGAATATATGTGTATATTAAAAAAGAGAGTGATTAAATATATACATACACTTGTGATTTTATATATATTCATGCATGTGTGTACACATATATTCCAATTAAATGTGTTTTCTATTTTTAAAATTTTTTTTAATGTTTATTTATTATTTTGAGAGAGAGAGAGAGAGAGAAAGAGTGTGAGCAGACAAGGGGCAGAGAGAGGGAGACACAGAATCCGAAGCAGGCTCCAGTCTCTGAGCTGTCAGCACAGGGCCTGACATGGGGCTCAAACTCACAGATTGCAAGATCATGACCTGAGCCAAAATCGACGCTTAACCGACTGAACCATCTAAGCGCCCCTAATATATTTTCTATTTTTATGTACAGGTTGTTTTAATCAAGTCCAAATCATTATTCAGACAGAAACTTTCCCATTGATCAAGACAAACTGATCTGGGGGTGGGGGAACATTTAGAGTTCAAGCGACAAACTCGCCTATATAGTTATCCTCTTACTCTGCTCACAGAGACACACATAGTAAAATATCTTATTGCTAAAATTCAGGGATGAGGGAAGAGTACACATTACACCATAGCCTTTACTGGCAGGATGAAATCTGAAGCTGGTTAGCCCAGGCTCTGAAGATCTCAAGAGCAAGGTACAAGTGTAATTATGATCTGTGCATTCTGCGTTTTATACAAGGCCACCCTTGGATACTAATCAAATTAGTATTCGATATGTATTGCATAAGTAACTTTAATGTTCTCATAAATGTCTTTAATATCTTGATCAGCATAGCAACTCAATGATATTTTTTTCCAGTCTTCCCCTCTGATACTAGAATCGCGAGCTGCCTTTCAGCCAAACCTTTACATAGGCCCTTACCGCCATTATCAGCAACGTAAGACTTCCAAAAAGTTAAAGTAGAAAAGTTAATTGCAGAATCCTCAAAACT